AGTGTCATTACCATATTGGTGTCTTCAACAACAAATTTCCATTGTTCAGGTATTATGTACAGTAACTATTATAAAAATGGTTGTAGAACTGTATTTGTATAATGAAATGTTTTACTGATATATTGCAAAACAGCCTCAGACTTACATTTTATCGTATCTATTAGTAAATTAGTTACCAAGGTTCCAGGGAACCTTGTATCTGTGTTTATATTTCACAAACAATGGTATTCCTTTTGAGAAACGTTAGGGAAAGATAATGCTTTGCACAATGGAGTGAATTTTGAAATCAATACTTACAGTATACCAGAGTCAAAAAGGCAGATTAAAAGAAAGCAGATCAAAGAAAAAGGTAATTATTTGAAACTCTGAGGCTAATCATTTCCTAATCAGCAATCCACTTGCTGTTGATTTTAATTGCATATCAAAATTTCCATGTCATAGGAAAGAGTAAAGTCCCCAATAAATCTGATACTACAATGGAAGCAGAAAGATGTTAAAAAAGCTCTGCTGAGGTGAGTAGGAAAGGCATTAATACATCAATCATTGCAGTGTTATAGAAAAGTTTAGATGTTTCACAGAAAGTGAAAAGAAAAGCAGGCAAGAAATTGTCAAAATATTGTACACTACCTGAAATATGGAGGTGGAAAAGAAATATTTGGAGGTTGTTTTTGTCATAACAAAAAGAAGGTAATGCAAGGCACAAATTAAGTAAGTAAACTGCAGGTGAAGGTTTTGTTTGTCGTGTCAATTACCCAAAATTCCATGACAGATTTCACCACTTCCTAAAATGGGAAAGAAAAATAATAAAATTCTTGTCGGTCTTGTCAATTCTCTTATCTTTACCCCACTGAAATTCCATAGGATGTGCTTCATAGAACAGTGAAAAGTGTAATTATTAGCATAATGTATTATAGAGTGAGAGATTGTACAGTAAATCACAAACAATACTGTAAATTTGTGTAGCAGAATGCAAAAATATGCACAGCTACTTTACAAAGAAGTGAATTGTAGACAAAAAACAAAAATAAATTACAAAAATAAACTTTAATTGATATACCACCTCTAAAAGTATCTTCTCAAAACACTTTACAAGTAAAAAAACAGTTAAAACAAACAGTAAAAAATATAGAAGATAACAAAAATAGCACAAAGAAATAAGGGATTAGAAATGTAGTAGGAGATGCAAAGAACAGATTCAGGCAACAAATAGATAAAAAGTTTTGAGATTGAATTTGAATGGGTAGAGGACTCTCTGATATCCTCTGGCATGGGAATTACAGAGCTTTGGGGCATAACAAATATGGGGTATAAAAAGAGAAGACCCTATCACCCAGAGTGTGTAAATAACCTTGGTGGACAAATAGAATCAAACTATTAGGACTATAACAAGAGTAGGACTATAACAAGTCAGATAGGTACTGAGCTGCCAAGGGATGTAGAGCCTTAAAGTTCAGCATATGGATACTGAAGTCAAAATGAAACCTTAAAGGAAACCTGACCAAGGACTTTAAGACAGGACAGAAGTATGAGAATGTGATCAATTGCACATTACTGGGTCAGGATTCTGTCTGCCAAGTTTTGGACATACTGTACTAAAGTTTGTTTAGTGTGGGCTTAGATAACCTAGCAAACAGTGCATTGCAGTAAATTCTAGAGAAGACAAAAGTGTTGACTAGCTTTTTGGCTACTGTCAGAGAAAACATAGGATGAAGTCTGGCAACAATTCTGGGTTTGAAAAATTATGTTTTTATCATTTTTTGCACATATGGGTCAAAGGTCAAGCCTAAATCAATCATCACCCCTACATTAGTCAATTCAGACTGCAATTCAAGTACAGTGCCACCCACAGAAGGGGTACCGCTTTAGGAAATTGATAAGAGGTGCAGAGAAGCATGACATCATTTTGTTAGTTTAAATGAAGAAAATATGGAGTCATCCAGGAGTTACTGTATACAGTATATCAGAGATGCAATTGGAGAATGCAGAAACAGCTATTTCAATGTCAGGTTTAGTATGGACATAGATCTGTGTATCATTAGCTAGAAATGATCATTCAGACGATGTGGTCTTAATAGCTGGCCAAGTGGGAATATGTAAATGCTGCACCATGGGCCAAATATCGAGTCCTGGGGAACACCAGACAAACCCAGATTCAGACCTCAAAACCCCAAGAGGGACAAAATCAGTGATCAGTAAAGGAAGAGTTGAACTATTTAAGAGCAATGACTGAAACTCCAAACAGTTTCAAGACTTTAAAAAGGGCAGTTTCACTTCTATATATTGTAATTGTCTGAAACCAGATTCGAGGAGATTTGAGGAGGTTGTTTTGCAATGAAATGGTTGTTTAATTGAACTGCAATGACTAATTCTAAAATCTTTGCAAGAAAAAGATTGGTTGGAATAGAGCAACATTTTTTTTAGATTGTACAGGGACAAGTTTGTTTTTTTTAGACAGGGGCAACTGCAGCTGTTCTAAAGGCCATTGGTACTACTCTAGTGCTCAAAGACTCATTTATTATTTTGAGAACAGCAGGGCAGAGGAAAGAAACATAATTGAAATAAAATAAGGGTGGGATCTAATAAGCAGGTGATGGATTTAATACGCAATACCAATTTACTAAGGTGTCAAGTTGATAGAAACAGGTAAGAGAAAAATCAGCAACATTTGGCATGCAGAGAGGAGCTTTAGTAGTAACATCAATGGAAAGAATGTGATGCTGGATGTTGTAAGTAAAAACTGAAATAAAGTATTTGTTATGCTGCACCCATAGATGAAAAATAGGGTGTGGCAAATTGGTAATTACTGGAGTCAGTTCAGCAGCAAAGTATTAATGAGCTTATGGAACAAGGAGAAGGTGCCCCCCAAATTCCAAATGCTACTATGACTCAATAGCTGAGCTCTGAGGAATGATTCCTCAGGGCTTAAATAGTCAGTGGTATTGGTTAACGAGGTTGATAGGCCTGGCCTGATCTTGTTTGAGATGATCCTGACGAGCTCCTTCCACATGTGGAATGTGGAATGGAATGTGATCCAGGTGCACTGGAGCTCGGCAGGGCATCACAGCATTGCAAAATTGGAATTAAGCAAATCAAGTAGTAGGGCTTAAGCAGTCTTTTAATGGTGGAGAACAGGTATCTAGGATTGCTATGGTTGTTTTAAATGATGTTGGGGAATCTAACAGACTCTATTGCACTCTTTGGTCAGTATAACATGGGGTAAAGTGAGTAAAAGAGATGGTTTGGAGCTTAGCTGTGAAAAGTTATTAAAAGATCTATTAAAAACTTGTTCCTTGTCTTCCAGAGTGTCAGAGTTTAAGAAGCAATACAATGAAGATAGCATATAATCAGCAAATGTAGTTTAGTCCATTGATTCCCAGCTATAACAACAGAGCCTAAGAGTGTGAGTCAGGAAAGAGAACAGCCAAGTGATCAGAAAGGCCTAGTTCATGTTAAGCTATGTGGGAGACCAAAGCATTTTAATAAAGCTAGAAATTCCTTTGCTAAATTGGAAAACCATGAATCAGTGTTAATATTAAATTAACCTTGGACATGAAGTAGTTGAATGTGATCTAATTGAAGGACCTTATAACTTATTTCACCCAAAAAATGATTCAGTTTGAAAATTCAAGTTTTGATTACAAATATAAACTCTAAATAATGTGAATATATCATTTAAAATTCAACAAAATTGTACATCGTTAATGACACAATGATTTTTTTTAATGTTTCACAATCTAGAAAACTGGGAATTTTGCTTGCATGTCAAAAGCTTTTATGGCATGGACCAAAATGATTTGGTTCAATGTATATATCTTACAGTATCTGATATCTTAATAAGATTCCTAAAGATCTGAAATTATTGCATTGCTGTTTTTCTAGAAGTGTTAAACTGGATTTCAGGAGGTTGAAAACTATTGGTTAAAACAATCTTTCACTGTATGATTCTACATCTTTACACCTTAATTCATATCTACAAAATTAAGACTATTTCAAGCCTCAATAAAATTTCATAATTTTCTTTGTTAATGACAAGAAAACCTAAAAAAGTAACATTATTTGCACAATGATTTGTTTTGTAAGTATATCAAATATGTATGCATAAGTGATGAGCATGTTAACATTATTCTCTATCCCGAGTTAACAAAATAAATGACAGTCTTAATGTCTCTCCTTTCAGCTTTAACCCCTTTCTGGCCTTAGATTAACATGTTTTAAAAATAAAACAATTTTCACGTGAAAGAAAATTAATTTATATTGGAATTAATTGAATCTGGTAATATAATTGAGAACCAGATTTAAAACAATGCTATTATTTTAATGCAGATTCAATGTAAATATTTGTAGAATATTTGATCAAATAAACATTAAGAAAGAGTCAACAGTGCCCCCTGGTGAACTTTACTTAAACAACGTCATACAGCCTTCTAACCTTGTCTGTAAATTGATATATTTTAACTGAAATATTAGAACACATTAAAAACATTGGTGAATTATTTTAAGATGATTAAGCATGAAGAAGCTATCCAAAACTACAAATACATTGTGCTACACATAGAATGCATGAAAGATAACAGTAGCAAGAAATGTAATAAGTAAATGGAATATGAGCTGTAAAGCAAATGATGCACAACAACTTGTTTGATAAATTAGACATTTATTAATATTACATTATGTGAAACATGCATAGCACATGTTAATAAAGCTTCCATTTACAATATACAGTGCTGGAAGCATTTTATAGAGAACATTTAAAAAAACAGTATTTAAGTTGTATTATACATAAAGCTATTTTTAAAACCATCTTATTTACATACAAGACTGTGTCTTTGATAATAAGTCATAAAACATTTGTGTGCTGGAAAACACACTGGAGGCCTCTGCATTTCTGGAAAACAAATGCTTTACAGTTACAGCCATGCGTGTCTCACACATTGTTCTCAAGAGCAGGAGTTACAACATTCACATTTTTCAGTGCTTCTCTGTTTCATTTCAAATTATCATTTGTACACATCAGCCTTTCAGATTACACCCTGCAAAATCAAAGTTGGATAGTCGAGCTTTATGTTCAGTAAAGCGTTGGACTGATTATTATTGCTATATATGATGAAAGCTATTAAAATTACTTTTTTCTGACAACCTACAAAGCTTTTATTTATAGCCCTTCCAACCTTAGATATATGTAAACTGTAAACTCAAAGGGATTAAAATGATTATATCATAAAGGTTGGGTCTAGAAAGCAGTAATATGATACAGCTTCACTCAAAACAATAAATAACACATGATCAAATTATAATATTGAAATATAAACAATTATAACTCTACATGGCTGTAGTTGTATATACAAACTCCAGACAGGCAGGAATTAACATTAGTGACAATCTGTTTACATTAACTTGCCGCCAAAAAAACAAGTAATATCCTCAATTGTCGTCAGTATATGTTTTAGCAGCTGGTCACTAAAAATTAGAAAGTTAAGGAATGTTTCAATTTTTCAATTAAGTAATCAAATTCAAGTGAAAAAGCTTTTAGTACGTATGTAAACTTGCAGTGCTATTTGAACCTAGACTTCTAATTTCAGAAAAAAAAATAAAGGATTGCATTATTGTTCCTTTTTTCCCTCTTGGCTACTTTAAAACAACTTTGATAGCCAAGTCAATACCACACCAAAAATTATGTGAATAATCTGAGATTTTATAATGGTATATTTGTACCATGCAGGAAGTCATACATGAGTGCAAGTGTTGTATTGCAGACTGATAAAATACTAATTTAAAAGTGCAACATCAGCAATTAAGTCTTGAGAACCTAAGAACTTCAAAACAATTCCAGTTAATACTTTCATTCCTACATTGTTTCTCATAATCCTACAGCAGCCATGAGCTCAGCCTGAGAGTACTTCTGATTGTTGTCGAAATCAAAAGTTTCCAATTCTTGAATTTCTGGTGTTGAAGATCCAAAATATGCTTTCAGGTCATCATAAGAGAGCCCTTCATCAGAGATTTTTCCTAACCTAAGGAAGACATTATCCAAATCTGCAAAATGAGAAAGCAAAACAATTATTCTTTAATGAGTAGAGGAACAAATACAATATAGAAACTTTATACAATTTTCTATATGATATCTTACATTATCCATATCTGTGATAATGTAATATATCAATAAATAAACTGACCTTATACCTTTTAAACTGTGAATTCCAGGCAAATCTAAGAGTCTTTTGGTCACACTTCTGGTTTCTTTTCTAGAGACTGCACGTGATAGAAATCTTGGAAGTCTAGTTGTGTTTGATGCTGAAACATTACTAGAGTTACCTGTGGAAAGAAAAATTATAAACCTTGGAGATCAGAATGCACAGACTGATTTTGTTTGTTTATGGATTTGACATTGTCTTACTCTATGAATTACTCCATGTCGTACAAAGAGCAATTTGGAATATTATGTTGAGCACTACTACAATCTGCTGGTCTCTTAAAAAAATGCACCATTAAAAACAGTTTCAACAATTAAAAAAAACTATAAAATCATATTCCATTGAGCACAAAGTCTTCTCACATACTGTACACATATAGCTGTCTACCTGGACTTTTTAATAATAATGAAAAACTATGCAGCACATTTACCTTTATGTCATTTTACCCCATCATTCAGTAAAATGGTATATAATTGAAAACTTCCAACATGCATGTTTTTATATCTAATACATTCAAGAATTGTTAAACAAAACTGCAAGTTTTACCTACTTATGCATGATTCTGCTTCATATATTAAATTGCATAAAGTTTATAAAGATCTGTGAGGGTGCATCACATAAAGTATAGGAACACTTCAAAACAAGTGAATCTCTCATTATCCTTGAAGCTGTTCTTGTGTATGCAAACTACAAAACAACAGAATTCAATCTTATGAAATGTCCAAGTTTTGTCTATTATATATTTTTAATTATTTTAGTTTTTTTTAATGCCATTGTGTTCTTACCCTTTGTAGAATCAACAGCAGATTTTCCAATTTCCATGGTTGCAGCAGCTTCAACTAGAGAACCTTTCACATGACTTTGCTTGTCTGATATCATGCCAATATCCTCAGTAATATGTTCGCTTTTTTGTTTTGTTGCATTTCCATTGAGAAGTTGTTGATTGTCAGGTTCTTTACTGTCTTTAGGGTGCGTACTATTAGCTATTTTGGTGGTATCTGAAGGATGTTCTTTATCCAGTGCTTTTCCAGTATCAGAATCATCAGAGGGTACTTCTGTACTTGTCATTTTACCAGAATCATCATATATTTGTTTTGATTCTTTATTTTCTCCTTTTCTGTCTGGAGGGACATCACTATCTGGTTTACTTTTCATGGCATCTATTAACTGGAGTTTTTCTCTCAGTTCTTTAACTCTGGTGTCCTAGAATAAAAGAATGGTTGTGAATTTTTATTTTGTTCTTTTTAGGGGAAAATATAAAACACATATAAACCATTTACTCAGATATTAAACAAATTGTTTCTACTTCTTAAAGCATTTTAATATGACAAATGTCTAAAAATAATATTACTGAAGGTGAATGGATTAACTTAATTAGCTTGAATTGCACTTTTCTTTAATTAAAATAAGAAACTTATGTCAGATTAGTGTTTTATCTTTTCATGTAATAATGCTGTGGTAAAATTATTACTGTGTATGCACAGTAATAGGAGAGCATGGTTTTGCAGTTATGCACAAGAAGATTAGCTTTACCCCCAAAACCTCTATCTGGTGAAACTATGATTTCACAAGACAATACAAAAGGTATTAATAACTGCGAGTCTTACACAAAGGGTCTGATTTGACAATGATTATACAGTAAGCCCCCAACTCTCAACAGTTTTCTAAAACATACTCACATACCATCAAACTCAAGTTGTGTCGGGATGGATGTGTAATATTAAAGAGGAGAAAATAATTTTCTAATGAAAACATTCTCTGTGTGAGGTTGCTAATGGTTGAATTCACACTATGCATCTGTTCATCACTCTGTAAGTGGTAAAACACTTGGGAGGCATTAACTTCACTAATGGCGTCATGAAGATAGAGTACTTCCTGAAAAAGAAAAACAAAGATGACTCATAAAATAATCTAATAAAAAATAAGATTTTAACATTCAAAAGTGAAAAAGTGATCCATAATCCACAATTTCTAAATCCGATGAGCTCACATTATTAAAGAATGAACTAGGAAGTTATAATGGGGACAGCTACTGCCAAAGCCTTTTGCAAACTTATAAACTGACAAATCCTTGAACAGAAATGTCCACTTTCAGCAGCAGAAGTGAGGGGCCTAATCAGAAACCCATCCCACAAGATAAATCTTCAATCCTTACAACATATCTGCATATATTTTGTAACAGGAAACTTAACTGCTTAGAGAATAAGATAGTATTTTTATGTTCTGACATTAATTTATTGAAAAATTAAGGTGAGTTACGACTGCAGTAAGCTGTCAGGAGTATTTAGTATTTAACAGTACAGTAGGTGGAAAGGTTATCATTATAATTACTGATCTCAAACAGCTAGGGATAATCACATACCAAATACACAAGTTATAAAATGACATAAGAAAAGGCAAGTACCATACATAGTTCCTTTAAAATGAGAAAAATGTAAAACAAAGACCACTGGCATTCAGACTATAATACCTGTTTAAGTATTAAACATGATGTGTAATTGCTGGATGCCTGTTCTGCTGCAGAGGACGTTCTACTTGATTCTTTATTTTGTTTATTCTCTCTTTCAACCTGTGATATCACAGAAAATTACAAAAAGAAAAAAAAAAGAAGTGTCATACTAGATACCTTAGGAACATCACTCAGAGGTGTGTATTACACAGGTATGTTTAGAAAACTATCATAATTATGTCTGTGCAGGAGAAAAACATGTTACATATACAGTAATTATTTTGGTGTTTATCTTATCTAAGTGTATATACACAAATGTGCCTTGTTCAAACGACTAAAATCACTCTGACATAATGTAAGAGATTCTGAGTTTTTCAGACATTTTTTCACATTTGTAAGATATTTAATATTGTTAGAACTTTAGAATAGTAATAAGCATAAATAACAGCAAAATGATAACAGATTTTTCTCTGTGCTCTATAGGTTCTAAGTAGTCAGGGAACCTTATTTTATCATTTTTAATTCACTGTATGTGCACGAAAGTGTCTCTCCATTATGCATTATTTTACCATGTTTTGAAGCACGTCCACTGTTTTTTTCTGTTCCTCCAGAGTTGTCTGCATAGTTTCAACATCATGCTGCACACTTGTTAATGTACTTCCAATTGTGGCAACACTCTGAAACAAGATTAATTAAAAAAAAAACAAATATGTAAGCCAAGAAATTTCTATGATTCAACTATATAAAGAAACATCTTCATAAAGAAAATCAACAATCAATAAAATGCATATTTATTATACAGTATCAATATAAAGCAACCTTGACCAATCAATGTGAAAAAACACATTTTAATAAAAGTATATAATTAATTCAATTTTTACTTGAAAACATTTTGTCCAAAATCAACACAAGTATTTTATATAGACATTTAGGGGACAATAAACTGAATAACCCTGGTTAAGTGAGGGACACCAAGTATTTTGAAAGCAAAGGCTTCCATGTAAGTGTGGGCATGTTTTAATTGAGTAAATAATTTCTCAGCATGCATAGGGTCATGTATAAATGTGCCGAGTAGGCCTGGTTGTCTATAATTATGAGTTGCATGGCTACTTGCTTGACCGAGACCTCAGTGAAATGGATAATTGTTAGGATGTTTACAGCAGGAGCTGACCAAGTGACCAAGACAGTTCTATTTGCTGATGTTTAACAACCAACGGTCTAAGGATCATCAAAGATAACTTATCCATTTTAAGACCCTTCAACTTGAACCTTTTTACTAGATGTCTTATCATTTTATTTCTAAACTACATTCTTGTCCACAGTTCCCTTAACTGCCCAAAGCCACTATCCACACCAGTGCCTTTTCCTGTAACAAAAGGGGCTACACTATCTTTACATACAGTATGTACAGTACAGTACCTACTACTGCACATATCCATGGCCAAAATCAAACCATTTTGAAATTACCCAGAATATATTGTGTCTCAAATAATCTCATTTACTGCACCTCTTGGAGAAAATGCTCAAGGAACATGTCAGAACTGTGAGGATCTCTCCCATTCAGCTCTCCCAGCCATGATTTCATTGACCTTTTCCTCTACCTCTTTTACAGAGATTTCAGGACCTTTTCTCCAGAAAAACATCAAAAGCAAAGATAATGCTTAAATATGGAACACACTTTCCCCGTTCTCTCAATGACAGACAATTTTAAATCATCTCCATTCATTTACAGATTTCAGCTTTTCATACCTCATCCTCAGATGCCCCTTTCCCGTGGATACTCTCTCATCTATGCTGTCCTTTGTTCTCCTATGCTTTATATTCCAGCCACCTTAATCTGTTTTACTTGCACCTGAATAACACTCAGCAACTAAAAATGCTGCATTTCTTCTTTCTACTTTTTAGAGTGGAATTAACCTTTACTTGTTCCTGTGAAGCCAACTCTCCCCAATTAAAACTCGACGTCTAATGTGATATCAACATGAATATCTGAGGGAATGGCATCATTAGCAAAGAATAACAGTGGTAGGAAGCACAAAGTCTAGGATTGTGATATCTGTAGATTGATTCAAAGTCCAAGGCAAAACATGCAAACTGCAATTTTTAGCATGGGGTGTGAGAATCCATCAGAAACAGTCTACCGAGGACGCCACAGAGCAGGATACTGAGTAAGAAATACACAGCATAATTGGAGTTCAGAACTCAAACCACCTATCAAACTTGGCATAAGTCCAGTGGTGCAAAGAGCAGAGGCATTGGAGTACCGCCTGGTGATGAAATGTGATATCGTCAAATAGGTCATCCTTCACCATGTTCTCAACAAACAGATGAATTATGTGCATGATGCCAACCTCTACAGCCTTGATTGCTTGGTTCCAACACTGAAGGGTTCTGGGGGTTCAGTCGCCTTCTGATTGGCTATGTCGCGCTGCCTACTGTAGTTTCGTCATTGTGCTTTTACTGTAATTACGTAACATATTTTGGGGTGCAGTTTCCTGGCACACAATACCTTGGAAGACAAGGCCGATACTAGTCATTATTTAATTTAATTTTTCTTCTTCGAAGAGGGGTGTCTTCCAGCAACGCCCCCAGTATTCCTTGTGCCATAATGGTTTGATGAGCATGACCTTTTGTTATTCATATGGCATGTTATTCATATAGCCTCTTAGGCTACCAGATTTGAATCCATTTAAGAAATTACAGTACATTCTGGCATGACAAATGACATGGCATTTTCCATCTATATAAACTAGATATAGAGTTGTTCAACTTTCTTATGAAAGAATGGTACAGCGTCTCTCTGCCTGAACGTTGTAGCCCAGTGCCCTTGAGTGGGAAGTCACCTTGTGAGCTACAAAAGAACATGTATAAGTTAATTCCATTAAGAAAAGTATAAAAAAGATAAATAAAATGTTTTTTGTTATGGAGCCTCAAACACCTAAAGATGCATTTTTATTTTTCAGTAAGGAATTGGCTTATAATGATTGTTTTTTTAAACCTCAAATTCAACCACAAACGTATTCTGCTGTATCACATATACAGTAATAACCCAGTTTAAATTCCCAGATGAATAAAAGGAAAGGTGTGAGTTACATGTTGCATATGCTTTGAAACATGAGTAAATATTATGGTAGAAACAAAACCTGTTATGTCATTGAATATAAAGCTGATGTGTTATACTCTGCAAATGACAAGAAACACAGTGGTTTCACAAATATTAAATGCTAATTTTTTCACACTAATAAATGTGAATTTTCATATCACAAAAATGTCACTTTGTTTTTCTACCACAATGACAAATGTGTTTCCTTCCTGTGAAAATCTTTATTATGCAAGGATTTAAATAGCTCATATGACACGTATCTGCAACTGAACCTCCTCATTAGGCTTTTTTTTTTAACTCAAGTATGCCCTTCCTGAAAGATGGCACTGCACTTTTTCTCAAAATGACACACAATGCAATTTAGTTGGGTGTTTTTATAGTAAATAGTGTCTGCATATCTTTATACATAATATATAAGTTATACATATAAACTAACTAAACTATAATGTAAGGTTAATTAGCATTACATTAAAAAACATATAAAACAAAATATATAATCAGAAGTGGCATTTGTGTTTATATTTATTTGAAAGTGAATAAAAATTAGATACTTGTAAAATGTATTGGTCAACACAGTTTTTCATTAGGAGTATATAATGTTAAAATACTTTAACAATTCCATATGATAATCCCCATTTGCGATAGATGACTCTCATCATGCTCTTCACATTTCTCATGCCACTATGGATACCAAAATTCTATGTGCAGTCCTTTCATTGGATGCTGTAAATGCCTTCAATAATATGGAATGGGACTCACTCTGGCTGGTATCAGAACATATGGGGGTTTGGGGACAGAGCTCATTAAAATGATAATTTTACATGCAAACCCCTCAACGCTGGTGTTCTGAGGTACCAAATGTTCGCTGCAAATCTCTATTTCCAGGGAAACTCATCAGGGGTGTTCTCTTTCCCACTGCCATTTGCCACTTCATTAAAGACCCTCGCTCAAGTACTCCACCAATCTGCTACGTTTGTCCCCATTAGTATTAAAACTGCACAGTATTGCATCTCACATTATGCTGATATAATCTTTTTGAGGATCCTGTCTAATCTCTCCATTTCTTACTGAAGCTTTTCAAAGATTTCACACTTTTGGAATATATATTAGGCTAGGCAATAGTGGGTCATGCTACTTTGAATACCTCACTGACAATATGATTTTACCTGTAAAAACACTGATAACAACTAAAGATCAGTGTCTTAGAAAAAAAAATAAATCTACAGATTGCTGTAAATGACTATTAACTCATTGTAAATGTCTAAAAAAATTGAATTTGAAATAGATGGATATCACATCTTTATTGTTCCAGGTGCTGTTTTGTAGACTGAAAATGGATGTATCCCCCTACAATAATTGTTTTAAATCTATGCTTCTATTTTGTAACATCCCTATTCATTGGGCTAAAATGCAGTCCATATTCTATACAATATATATAGCTTTTATGCAGGGAAATGACTGTGTGTTGAATTCCATTCAATGAGAAATGTGAGAAATCCCTGGTGGATTATCTCTGGCACTATCTAAATGTATCCATGGTCATTTGTAATGTTTGTAATGTATTTGATAAGGATACTCCTGTTACACTGTTACAGGGTAACAACTAGAAGAAAATGTATGTTTAAAAATCAAACATCAACTTTGACAAGACGTAATCTGACTCAATGACACTACCTCTCTCTATAAACATTTGTTTTGTTGAATGATTGCTCAATTTGTTTGCAGCCAAGGTGTATCTGGTTGGCTGGCCTTATTGCTCCTAAAATTACTGTTGCTCTGCATTGGCAGCATTCCAATTCCCTACTTTGGCACAAATGGGTGCTTCCTTTTCTTAATGTTGTACAGTACATACTGCATGGGGTTTTGTATTGAGCTGAGAAGAGTTCTAAGACTTGCGAGCCAGCAAGATACAGCTAAATCATTGGTGAGCCTATCCCTAAATACCATTATTTAAATCCCCCACTATGATGGGGTCATCTGTGTTTTAGGCTAGGGAGAGAAACTGGGTAACAGAGGAGGTTGAACTCAGGAAGGGGAGGCACAAAGGCAAAAAGGAGAACTGTTTCTCTTTGTTGTGTTGTTATATTTGTTATTTATGTATTTAGTGTTATATGTTTCTCCAGAAAACAAACCTACATGACAAAGATGTACATCCATCCTAATCACTTTTGAAAACGAAGAAAGAAAACTACCGATCAATCTACTCAGCATTCTACTTAGAACTACTGAGCAATCAATGCAATTAAATATTAACTAACATTTGGTAAAACAACAAATATTTTTTCTACTTGGCAATGCTGTAATAATCCAGTGACAACAAAAGAGTAAATATTTGTAATATGTTTTTAATCTGTGTGTTCTTTAGTTCCACTGGGGGACACTATGACATTTAAAAGCATCAACTGGGATAGCATAATGATTAGATGTTACAATGTTGTTGAACCAAAACAGATGTAAATGTCTTTACATTATAAAATAATGAGCAAAGTAGAAATTATTTGTTTTCTTGCAAGAATTATGGTTAGTAAACACCTTCCAGCAATCTGACACAATAACAGACGTTGTGCAATAATCATATAGTCTGCGATATTGAAACACTAAAACTAAATAATAATAGCAGTACTAATAATAGAAACAAATGTCAGACTCACACCTGCTCGCAGTATGTTCACTCTATTCATCACTGCTTGCAGATTTACATGCCAACAATTCCTCAATTTTTTATACATTTTCAAATTTATGTCCTGCTTATGCTGGAATGTACAACTTGTGCATCAGCAAGAAAACTACATCATGCTTTTTATAGAAAATTGTATAACAGGACAACATAACACATCCCTGGCCCCTGGTTGTACAAAACAAAGCATGAGTTAAGTTGTTCCTGGTTTGCAATCCATTTAACAATTGCAAAATCCACCTAAACAATAGTAAATAACATTGTGTTTTCTCTCTTCTCTTTTCAGCATAGAATAAACCTATTACTTGTTCCTTTGTAAATACAATTTTATTATTCACCACTGAACACTTAAAAAGAATTTAAAAAGTTTTGAAGAGTGCCTTTACCTTTTGAAGCTCTTCAACAGTAGTTGGAAGATTAATCAAATCTGAGGCAGATTTAATGTTTCCCTTTAAGTGGGTGACAGCAGAATCAAGCACGTGTATCTAAAATGAAGAACCAGAAATACAAAATAAGCTGTAAAAATGTTCAGTAGTTCATAAGATCTTGGCTTAATACAATCCCACCTGCTTGTCAGACTTCTAAATATATTTAACATTCCAGAGAAAATAATATGTAAATAATGCTGTTAATATGTAAATAATGCTGTTAATAAAAGGGAAGCAGCATCAGCCTTTTGTACTCTGTCCTAGAATTACCATTAAATTTGTTTTAATGCAATGAACTTTATCTGACTATAGAATTGTATCTCTACGTACACTGCCATGGTAACAGTTAAATTTTTAGTACAATGAGAAAGTGTAGCCACATGAGGGTGCTCTCATCAACTCTATACACCATAAAGTAATTAAGGAGATATGTACAGTGCCTTGCAAAAGTATTCACCCCCCTTGGACTTTTCCACATTTTATTGTGTTACAGCATGGAACCATGATGTATTTAACTTATAATTTCTGCACTCATCAACACAAAGTACTTTATAATGTCAAAGGAGAAACAAAATCCAGAGATTACTAAATTAATAAAAAATAAAAAATAAAATAATTGAATGCAAAGTATTCACCCCCTTGCTATGACACACCTAAATTACCTCTGAAGTAACCAACTCTCTTCTCCAATTCATATAATTACTTGACTAGAATCCATCTGTGTGCAGCTGAGGTGTTTCACATGATTTCAGAATTAATATACCTGTATTTGGGAGCTTCCCCACTTAGTTAGTGCCTTTCCAAGGAAACACTACACCACGAAGACCAAGGAACATTCCAAGCAGATCCGAGACAAGGTTCTTGAAAAATACCAGTCAGGGCAAGGATATAAGAACATTTCCAAGGCATTGAATATACCTCAAAGCACAGTGAAGTCCATCATTAAAAAGGCGATAAAATATGGAACAACTATGAATCTGCCAGAACTGGTCGTCCTCCAAAACTGTGTGTCCGTGCAGGAAGAGCCATAGTAAGGGATGCCTCCAACAGACCTATGACAACTCTAAAGGAGTTTCAGTCGTCCATGACAGAGATGGGAGAAAATGTGCATGAGACAACAATAGCACACACACTTCATAAATCTGACTTGTACGAAAGGGGTGGCAAGAATAAAGCCTTTGTTGAAAAAAACTCATATCACATCTCTGCTGGAGTTTGCCCAAAGGCATGTGAGAGACTCAACAATTTGGAGGAAGATTCTATGATCTGATGAGACCAAAACTGAACTTTGTTTGGTGCAAACCTAACACAGCACATCACACTGAGAACACCATCCCTACAGTGAAGCATGGTGGTGGTGGCATCATATTTGTGGATGCTTCTGTGCAGCAGGGAAAACACATATAGATGGAAAAATGGATGGAGCTAAGTACAGAAAAATCCTGGAGGAAAACGCGCTGCAATCTGCAAGAGCACTGCGACAATTAATCTTCTAACAGGACAATGACCCGAAATATACAGCAAAAACCACACTAGAGTAGCTTAAAATTAAAAAGGTTAATGTCCTGGAGTGGCCCAGTCAAAGCCCGGACCTCAATCCAGTTGAGCATCTGTGGAATGACTTAAAAATTGCTGTTCACAAACAGTCTCAATCCAACTTGATAGAACTTGAGCAATTTTGTCAAGAAAAATGGCAAAAATTCCAGTGTGAAGATGTACAACGCTGATAGAGAATTACTCAAAGAGACTCACAGCTGTAATAGCTGCTAAAGGTGGTCCTACCAAGTATTAACTCTGGGGGGTTGAAAACTTATGCATTCAATTATTTTCTGTTTTTTATTTTTATTTAATTTAGTAATGTCTGTATTTTGTTTCCCCTTTGATATTACAGAGTACTTTGTGTTGATGAGTGCAAAAGTCTCAGTTAAATACATCATGGTTCCATGTTGTAACACAATAAACTGTGGAAAAACTCCAAGGGGGGGTAATAGTTTTGCAAGGCACTGTAGTTTAACAGATGCAATAAACTAGCAAAATGCAGTTGTTCCATATCACAGTGTAAAATCAAATATGACTGACTTACATCCTGTATCATAAAATATTCATAGCTTTTACTATGTCATATACATAGTGTACCATTATCAGTCATAAGAAATCAAAGGGGTGTTAATTTAATTAAGTGTGATTTACATAGTTTTTGCAATGCACCATTCTTGCTGAAATGAGTTCATAAGTAGCGTCTTAAAGTATTTCCAAAGAACACTTTTGAAATTTCAGTTCTTGTATTTATTCCAGTCAATCGCATTGATCTAAAGAACCAAGGAAGGAACCACAAAAAATAAATACAAAGTATAACTATCTAAGTAAGCTTTACCTTCTTGTTTATCTCAGTTATATTTGACCAAATTTTATTTATCCCCTTCTCCCCGTTTTCAACATCTTCAAGCCTTTTCTGTTTTTCTAGAAGGTCCTCGTTGAGTTTGGGTATCTCCTGTGATGATACCTTTTGGCTGGACTCCACTTTAAAAAAAAGAATCAAGTTAGTTTTGTATTGAAAAACATGAGTAAATATTTGAATTCCAAAAAACAATCACCTCCATGGAATCACGCTGTTATCTAAGGTCAAAAATAAAAATAAACAAATTATAACAATAAAAAAAAATACGATATATAAGGAATGTCAGGATTTTGTTTACTAATGTACAGTAAGTGAGCAAGCAAGTATGCTTTCACTTTTAATATCTATCAAAACATAGTCTGAGTATATGTCTTAACTTTAATTAGATGTTTACTAGTCATGAGTTTAACTTAGCACAATAGGAACACATTACCACATTCATATATAGGTGACAAAATATTTTAACTTTAAACCACCATAAGGCCAACACTGCACTGTGTTTTATTCACTATGTTTTGGTGCTATAATTGACAAGAAGAAGATATGGTGAAGTCAGCATGCTCGCTCAGAAAACAGGAGAACTGACAAAAATGACAGGACTGATAAAAGGCTATTACATGCTTAACGTGATAAAAAATAATTTATGGAAATGGTGATTTGTGTTGGAGCCACTCTTGTTTACCTGATGCAAATTTCAGAGTTTCAATGGCAAATGTACCCTCTAATGACTAAAGGGACTGTACAACCCTTCTTAATGGGTTATGTTTTTATGTTCAGATTTCTCAAACAGGACTGGCATCGCATCCATTTGTATCCTGCCTTGTGCCCATTGCTTCCTGAGATAGGCTCTGTCTCCCATGTGATACTGTATTGAATATAGTGGATACGAAACAGATGGATGGAAGTTAAAATTAGTTTTTGTGGTTTGGCTTACTTGCATGAAGTTTTTCCTTCAGTAAATCTAGATCCTCCTTTAATGCAATCTGCATCCATATCAAGCCAGCACAGGCCACCACACAAGCAGCAAGAATGATGAACGCACACAAGGGGTAGCAAATGTTGCAACACTGTGCATAGCTTCTCCTGTTAAACCAGAACAGGAAGAAACAAGTGAGAAGATGAAGTTTAAGAATTAAAATATCACACCAAAGATAAACCTAAAATGCTACAACACTAAAAAAAGTATAGGGCACACATGGCTGCAATCTAAATAATATATACTGTAAAGATAAATTTCCGAGATGAAACTAGTATTCTAATAATTAGAAATGTATTTTACTTAATTTATACTACTTAAAATGTACAGGTACCATTCCACATTTAATTTACCGTCACTGATGTTAACGCTACAGAAAATAAAGTAAAATTACTAGGCGTCACATTTTACGACAAAACTGTACTACACCTGGCACTCACTTTGCAAACGCTGAGGAGCTGCTCGAATTACTGAATTCTTCGTCATCGGAACTGGACTCGGAATCAGAATCAGGGGGCTCTGTCCTTAGAAGTCTGTGTCCGGATCCTTTCTTTGTTTTTTTCCTCTTGTTGTCCCCTCCGAGCCCGATCAGCGCATTGAGCTCCTTTCGCTTCTTCATCTTTTTCTGTGGGGTCAGCGCCCCTGCCGGACTCGGCTTGTACCCAATTTCGAGCGCCTTGTTATCCAGTTTGTTTCCTTAACGCTAGGCATACACAGATTAACAATTCTTCCACGTTATTTCTGAGATGTTACAACAGTTTCGTGCGATTTAACTACACACATTTAGATCTCAACACAGTCACTTCCCTCTTCTAAAATTAGAAGAAACAAAGTACAAGATAGAACTATAGTAGTTCCTGTACAAAAATAAAACTGATTTTCACTTTTTTGCTCTTCAATAACGTATTATACGGAAAATTGGTAATTAGGCAAAGAAAGTTTTATTATACATATAAAAACATAAATCGAGATAAAATTCTATATTGTTACTTCCACAACCTTATTTCCCTAACACTACAGCTGACAGGCTCACCTTCCAGCAAGTCGCCTTCTGATTGGCTATGTCGCGCTGCCTACTGTAGTTTCGTCATTGTGCTTTTACTGTAATTACGTAACCCGATAATATGGGATTTTATTTAAAGTGCCAGGGCAGTAAATAAATTACTTTTGTGAACTTGAGTTTAGTGTGCTAGAATGACACTTATTTTATTTCGCATTATATTTTTTGTTGTTTTAAATAATTTGGTAACAGGTTGTATTGTTTGGATTTTATCATTTAAACGGTTATAAATACTTTAAATAACAAACTTAATTAGGTTTACTGTCGCAACAGGAAGAACAATACACGAACATATCCAAAAACGTTGGTTAACACTCCTAATAATAATTCAATATTTTTTATTTGCCATATACAACAAGTGTATTGGAATGATTACTCGTTCAGCTGTACCCAGTAACAGTAAAGAAAAAAACAAAGGCACAAATGAAAAACAGACATGGACAATACATTTAGACAATAGACGTTATAATACAGCTAAGATAGGACATAGTGCAAACAGTGTAGTACCTTAAAGTGCAGGTGCTAATTTGAACTGTGCTGTTTATGATGCGCATTGCTTGGGGGAAGAAACAGTTTTTGAATCTATTAGTCAGTGTTCTGATACTGCGATACCTCCTATTAGAGCAGACTCTCCCTGTCTGTGTGTCTCATGGAGAGCAAGTTGGGGTATGCGAAAAGACAAATTCCTAATGCAAGAAATTGTATATGGCTAATACAGTGATCTTATCTTATCTGTGGGGAATCTTATATTTATGATAACGTAACTTGAAACTTTTCATGGAGATAAATTTACCTTTATTAGCTTCAGTGAGTATAGATAAAATCAAAACATTTAACACAAAGTGCAGTAATAGTGCAGGTATTATTGGAAAAGAGTTTATTAATATAGTGTCATTCCAAAACCAAGGACACTATTAAAAATGATAAGAAATATAACAAATCATAAAAATGTATTAGGAAAAACATACATATAAGACAAACTGTACTGCAAACATGCAAAGACTTTAATAATAATAATACAAAAATTATAAGGTTACATTTAAAACTAGTCAAAGATTCTGCTTCTTTAATGGTCGCAAGAAGGGCAATCCAAAAAAATGGAACAACAGAGAAAGCACGGTCACCAATAGTCCGTCATTTAGTCCTAGGAACAACAGGGAAGTGGATCATCCTCATCAGAACAGAGCATATGGGAAGGATAGTTCATGAAGCAATTCAGAAATGTATGATGGGGCCAAATTATTCAGAGTCCTATAAGTCAGTAATAAGATCTCATATTGATTACATGAGTTTACAGGCAAAGGATTAAAGGTTTAAGAGTAGGAGTAATGTACTGCCAGGGTCTAGTATGAGTTAAGCTGCAGTAAAAGTTGCAGAAATCAAGCCTTACGTAATAAATGCATGGATTAAGCACTCAGCATCAAACATTGACAGAAATGCAGACATTATTTCTATTACTGTGAATCTATCCAGCTTTTCCAGCTGATATTTACAGCTCGCCAGTAAGATTTCTTCAAATAATTCAATTTTAGAGCTTAATATCCTGCAGACACATGATAAGTGATGGAGGTGGAAGATGAGACGGGGAACAGGTTTTAATGTAAATCTGGGTATCATGTATGTAACAATGAGCAATAGTGAATGATTTGCTACATCCAAAGCGACATTAAGATCAAGGAGCAAAAGAATGTTTCTAGTTCCAGATTCAGATGCAATAAGCAAATTATTTACAGCCCTGACATGAGCAGTGTTAGTGCTACATATGGAACCATTCGAACGCAGAACCCATTGATAAGTTGCAATAGCTTCTCTTTAATCCGCTCTACAGTGGTTTAGATTAGCTATATGATTCACTGGCTTCTAGATGGCACTTGTGGTACATTAGATATTAGTAAAACAATAGCTTCCTACAACAAAAATGTAGTACTTTTTTTAAAAATCCACTTAATATGGAATATTAACATGGAATCAGGTAACTGAAGAGAAATTTTGATAGCTGAATAAAAATATGTTTCTGAACATCATTAATTATATTAATTTATGTTGTTTTGAAAATGTTTTAACATTATTATTTTAACTACATTTTCTGTTATCATTGTAGCAATGGAAAATGAAATGTTTGTCCAGGCAAGTTGTTCAAACCAAGTGACAATTTGGTTCAGTGATAGCTAAAAAGCTAGAAAGTCCTGGATTTGGTTCCCAGCCAAATCCAGTGTGCTAGTTGTACTTTTAAGAAATAAAGACTTTTATTTTGATATATATTAATTATATATATATATCACAATATGTATATCTAAATGCAAAAATAATTGTAATAATACATGTATTAACATGAATCAGCAAATGTGTGAATACTGATAATGCTGAGAGTAAAGCACAGTTCTACTGGCCAGATCACACCTAAAATTTCCAGTTGATTAATGATTAATTTGATTAATTCATTAATTAAGTTGATTAATTCCACAATTAACTTTGTGGAAGCACCTTTTGCATTTATTACGTCTTTGTGAATAAGTCTCTATCAACTTTGCACACCTGGACTTTGCAATTGTATCCCATTCTTCCTTGCAAAAAAGTTCAAGCTCCTTCATATTGCCAGGGGATCTCCTGTGCACAGCCCTCTTTAGGTAATTCCACAGGTTTTCTATGGGATTGAGGTCTGGGCTCTGACTGGTCCATTCCAAGACTTTGATCTTCCTTTTCTGAAGCCATTCCTTTGTTGACTTGAATCGTTATCCGATGGCTTTGGGTCGTTACCATGTTGGAAGGTTCTTCTTCATCTTCAATTTTCTGACAGAGGCCAGCAGGTTTTGTGCCAAAATATATTGATATTTGGAGCTAGTCATTATCCCATCTATCTTGACTAGAGCCCCTGTCCCAGGTGAAGACAAGCAGCCACAAAGCATGATGCTTCCACCACCATGCTTCACAGTACAGTAGGTATGGTGATCTTTGGATGATGAGTTGTGTTGTCTTTGCACCAAACATATCTTTTAGAATTAGGGCCAAAAAGTCCGCCCTTTGTCTCATCAGACCATAAGACATTTTGGTTGTTCTTTTTTGTGAGAAATGGCTTCCGTCTTGCCACCCTACCCAATAGCCCAGACGTGTGCAGAATACGGGAGATCGTTGCCACATGCAAGGAGTGACCAATACCTGTCAGAAATTCCTGCAGCTCCTTTAATGTTGCTGTAGGCCTCTTGGTAGCCTCCCTGATAAGTTTTCTCCTTGTCCTGTCATCAACTTTGGAGGGTTGTCCTGAACTTGTCGGTGTCCCTGTGGTGCCACATTTTCTCCAATTATTGATAATAGCCTTCACAGTACTCCATGGTACATCCAAGTCCTTTGATATTAGTTTATATCCCTCTCCTGATCGGTACCTTTCAACAATAAGATCCCATAGATGTTTTGTCAACTCCTTGCGGACCATGGCTATCCCAGTAAGATCCAACCAAGTTTCAAGGACATCCTACAGGAACAGCTAATTTTTATTTGGGGTTAATCAGAATCACTTTCATTGATGGCAGGTGTATTCTACTTACCTTTGGACATGACTTTGGCCAGAAACACAGACCAGGTTAAGTTTGTGACCACAAATACGGGTGGGAAAATTTACCAGTTGAGTAAGATCAAAGTAGTCTGCATTAGATAAAATATCAGGAGCAAATTTACATTCCAAGAAATCAACATACAGTATATATTGAATTCATCAAGCATTAATACTGAACAGGCCATAGTTTGTAAAAACAGCTCAGATAATTTATATAAAAACAGAGAGCAGGAGGGCAGTAGATAAGTAAAACCAACAATGGAGTGGGGCCAAAGAGTTTAAGAACAAGTTATTCAACATAGATGATAGAAAAAACAGATAGCTCCTTAATAATTAAGTCCTTCCAATACACTATAGACAAACCACCACAGACAGTAGAATGGAGTTTTCCAACATATGTGAAACCTGAAGGAACTGTTTAAATTAGAAGAAAAACAAACAAATGTTGGTCAAGTAAGTAGCTGCATCAGCATGCATAGGGTGCAAAGGAACAAGTAGAGGTTTATTACATGCTGAAAAGTGAAGAAAAGAAACACAGAAAAGCAGTGTTTCCTTTCTTCTCTTTTCAGCATTGAATAAACAAATGTTGTTATTGCTAGGTCTCAGTTGAGCAAAAAAATATCAAAACAGCTATCAATGATAAAACTATTTAGTATACCAATTCATTTTAGAGAATGGATACTAGTAAGTGTTAATCAAATGTCACAATGATTAACTAGGCCAATAGAAAATTCCTTAAACCATACAGAAGCCACAATTACAGATGACAACACTCTGGCGTTTATTCCATGATTGTGGAGCCAGAGAACCTGCAAAGTCCATCCAGAATGGTGCCAATACAGTGTAGTAGAGTACAGCAGATTTATGGATCAAAACAAAAAGAAAGTAACTTACTAACCTGTAGTAACTTAAAATCGAACAGATACAACAATCAGCATCCAACAAAGTAAAATTAAAAACCATAAAAATGAATTATAAACAAAATATACCAGTAGAGAGGTAACAGACAAAATGTATAGTGCATACTTTCAAACTTGAACTGGAAAAAACATACTCTTCAATGGAATCTTCAGTTGGTCTCTTCAGTTGGAAGCAGAAATTAGTATAAACATGTGTGTGTGCAATCCATGCAGAACCCCCCAAAATGTCATGTCACATAAAGCCACAGGGTTTGTACCTTCCACATCTTCTGGAAGGAAAATATCAAGATGTTTGTTAAATGGTTTACAGTCTCTAGTTATGTCAGGGTCACAGGTTAAATCATAAAGGTAATTAGGGTGCCAAGACAAAAAGTTGGCTACGTACGTTGCAGGATGATGGAGTACTCTTTAGGAAAGAAACTGAAGAAACACTCTCAGTATATAAAACAATGATGTCCTCTGTATTTGCTTTTCAGAAATATAGCACCTTATTTTTT